AGCTGGCACCCCATCCACTTCATATTCAGAAATTCAATCAACTGCACTTAAGTAGAGTAGGTCTGAGGAAGCCAGCCAAATCATCGGATGCTGCATTAAGATTGCAAGACTAGATATAAGTGACTAAGGTTACATCCGGTCACCTTTTCTCTTGATTTAGTTTATTTGTTCGCTATCTTGTAAAGCTTTTATTTTTTCCATGGTCATACGATCCTTTAGCGTACTTAATCATCATCTCATAACATCTGCCCTTAATCGACACCATGAAATAATTACCAGATTTACTTTCGACTTTTAACTCATTTCGATTCTAGCACATCTCATTCTTTTTACTACAAGCTCTTATAACTATACAGCAGATCTGTTATTTAATGATTTAATATTTGTTATCACTGTATTTAATCATTGTGGTTCCTTTAGGTGATGTAAAATCTTATGATTACAGCATCCTGGTAAATAATGAACTTCCAAACAATTCAGTTTTAAAAGGTGTGATTGCAGCCGTCCATCATTTGTTGCCCAGGGTTTGGTGAATTTGATCTCAATAACGGCTTTACTCTCTTAAAATTCCTAGAATTTTCCAGGCAAAGATTCAGCTCAAATTAATTTGGGTTGCACGATATTATGTTAAGGACAAATAAATGATCAAATCCAAGGCAATCCTTCGGTGCACGAGGCTCCTAATTCACTAATCTCTTTCACCAAGATTTCAAACTAATCAAAGTGTTCAATGACATCATATTACTAAAGAATCCTTCAAAGCCCAGCCGCATTCATAGATGTGTATTTGAATGGATGCCTCCCACTTTTATTTGTTGTAACACTTTTACACAATGATATATCTGTGTAAAAATTATAATTGGATCGCATTTTAGTTTAAATATGTATCATTGTCCACTCAGTCCTTTAGAGAACAGAAATTTGAGCTGTCTAGATAAAGCTAATATATTACCTTGTTTTACTACTTAGAAAATGTGATTTTATATGTCTGAAAATAAGGGATGTCCGAGGTCTTTTCAAGACCGTTGTGATTTGCGCAATTATGACTATGTTTTTTTTAGAATGAAATAATAAAACTGATTATAGTCATTGCGTTTCATTTTTACCCCTCTTAAGGTTGAGAGTTTTTATACTCTAATATTTTCACTGTTTCTTGTACATATCAATTTCAGATACTCTCGTATTTTGTGCACATGCGCTTGTATAAAAGCTACTGAGTAATTTATTATCATTCCTCCAGAATCATATTGATTTTGTTATTTTCCTTCATCTCGCGCTGCACCAGGCATTGAGCGACACAATGGCCGCATCGTCTACTTGACCTACACTCCTCCGGCCGGCTTTGGCAGCGTAGATACCTCACTTTTCCTCGTTGGCAAAGGCATCACTTATGATACAGGTGGAGCTGATTTGAAAGCAGGTGGCAATATGGCTGGTATGCACAGAGATAAGTGTGGCGCCGCTGCCCTTTGCGGCTTCATCAAAGCACTTGGTCTGATAAAGCCGTCTGGCCTCTCGGTCATGGTGGCCTGCGCCTTTGTACGTAATAGCATTGGCTCCAATTGCTATGTGTCCGATGAAATTATCGTTTCGCGAGCCGGAAAGCGCGTTCGTGTTGGCAACACGGATGCCGAGGGCAGAATGGTTATGGCTGACTTGCTTTGTGAGATGAAGGAGAAGGTTGGTATTAAATTTTGACCTAGATTTTATTGTTTTGTCTGTTTATTTTACGTTTAGTGTTTAATTTCACCTCTTCATTAAAATCAATCCTATCACGCCAAGGTACTGTTATATTGTGTTACTGGAAGTTGTAAATTTTCGTATCACATAAGTAAGTTTGGAATTTAGGATATATTAGGATAATCTTATATTAATGCAATTTTGTAAATGTTTATTTGTTACATCCAATAAATTACGCTTATTTCGCCTTTCGCTACATAACTTTGTGAATATTACATACTTATTGAAGATATTTTTCACCTTTTTAGGCACTTTTGGCTATCAACCCATTCCTTTTCACTGTTGCTACCTTGACGGGTCACGTTATTCTTGCTTATAAACACTATGCTGTAAGGCTTATTTTATGTTTCGAAAATTAATACTATTTCATAAATAAGTTCCATATTCATTATGTTTACATAATACTGGCCTAATATAATAGATTATCTTCTATCTTTCATACAGTTTGTATGAGCGGTCCGACGAAAAAAATATTTTGTATTATTTAACTGTTCAATCTCACTTGAGTTTGTTTCACTTATTTTTAGGCTGTCTTAGATAATGGACCAGCTAGAAAAAAGAATGTATCTCGACTTCTTCAAAATGCGGGCGATTTAATTTCCGACCCAGTAGAAGTAGGTCTATTATTTTTTAAATTGATCTATTTCAGCTGTTTTACTCTATCCCCGCCTATTTTATACTACATTTTCATCGTTTTGAAATTTTTTATCTAATGGCCTCAAATTATAAGAGTATTATATACACGAATGAACTTTTTAAATACCTATTGCTGTCTTAATTGATCACAAATTTTTGGAACCTTTAGTCAGAAAAAATGTGGTTGCTTGTTCCCGTTTTTGCAAATTGGCTGAAGCGACAGAGAAACTTTGGGGAAATTATCTGGTACTGCCTCCTTTGTCATAGTATCCATGATAATTTCAAACATCGGTTTCGACATTTACAGACGTCCCGCCGACATCGTCATTGAGAGGCGCCGTCGTTCGCATAGAGTTAAAACTTATCAAAGCGATAAGTGAAGGCGATCCTCTTGACCTATTTTCAGTTCAATAGTTATGGCATCACTCCTTGCTTCTATTTTTTATCCTACCTTCTAATGTTACATCTCTTTCTCTCAAACCCACTTCATATTGCCCAGTTACCTATTCGCATACTTATTGGATCTCATTTTCCCCAATGCCATCTAAGAGGGTATCGCTACAAGGAGATTTAGGGAAGCATGATAACCTTCACCATCGGTAATTAATTGTTCCTGGGTACACATAAATATCATTGTCTGGCTGTATATGAGCCTTCAAATTCCGTCCCCGTTTAAGTCTTTTAGAAAACTTAAGAATTGTAATTTTTATCGAAGGTATTAACACCAGGATGGTGTAGCCTTTTGTATGGTCTCGGTCTCCTGTCGTTTTATAGAAGTTGTCTAACCCTAGTTTCGAAACTTGGTCATATTAGCAGGAAGACCTAGAGGAACGCACCTTATCCGGAGCCCATAGTATGCATGACTATTTCCAGAGTCAGACCATGAACTTGGTACATTCCCAGACGTTTCGCAGGCATCGTAGTCGGCATCATCAGTGAGTCTTGCCATTCTCAGCAAACAAAACTACAAGTCGTCAAATAGACAAGCGAAGTCAATACCTTGACCAAACTTTCTGTCGAAGCGGTTATGTTATCACTCCTACTTTTGTCCTGATCCCTCTATCCATTTCTTATCCTCGTCCTATCA